CTGCCCCCCGCCCGAACGCCGAGGGCCCCCTCAGCTGGGTCTGCGACCTCTGTTGCAGTCCGCGGCGCCTTTTCGAGCCACGGGGTCGAAGGCGAGCACGTGCTGAACGTGGTTCTCGCGCGGCAAGGCGGGGCAAAACGCCGCGGCCGCGCCGTTCCAGGAGCGCAACAAGAAGCAGGGGATCCCGCAGCCACAGGTCAACTGGGCGCGCCAGGACACCAGCGCGGAAAGAGGAGGAGAACGAGTCAGGGGAGGGGAAGGGAAACTGTTTGAGTTGTTCTCGCCCTCGCAGAGGAGAAGGAGCAGGAGGGGTGGATCGCCGCGCCCGATGGCCCGACGCAGGCGCTGGAGCTTGCGTGGAAGAAGGGGGAACGGTTGGCGCGCTACACGGCCCGATTTCCCCTTCCCCCCCTTTGCCCCCCCAAGCCCTAATCTCCACTTCCCCCCGCCCACCCAGGTCGGCTGCCGCGCGCGCGAAGCGGACTCGTGGACGTTCCAGCGGTGGAACTCGAACCCGAGCCTGCAGATGCGGCACTTTCCCATCAGGCGCTCGCCCCCCACTCCCCCCCCCCCCCCCCCTCCTCCGCACTCCTCCGCCCTTCTTCTTTTCGCCCCCGCCCGGGCGCCAGGTGGTCGCGACGCCGAACTTCTGAGGGCTGCGGCAAGCGTCGGACAGCGACGAAATTGAAGTAATTTATTCGCCGGTAAGCCCCTCTTGTGCCCCCTTCAACGCTCAACCTTATCTTCTCTTCTCTTCTTCTGGGGGCTGGGCCTCCAGCGCAGGAGGCGCTGCCTCCAGTGCAAAAATAAAGGAGGCTTCGCCTCCTCGGCGCCTCGCCGCCCCCCCCCCCCCCCCCCTTGCCCTTGCAAACCGAGCGCATTTTTCGACGCGCTGGCGTTGGGGCAAGCTCAAACGTACAAGGAAACGGAAAACACAACTACAATGTATATATATTTATATATATGTATATATATATATATATATATGTGTGCATATGCATATATGCACACGTATATATATAGATATTAAGATATTAAAAGACACAAAAAATTGTATCACTACAAAAACCGTTGTAATACTACAAGGCCGTTGTATTTCTAAAAACAAAAACATCGCTTGGTACATTCTAAACATACGCGTAAAATACAAAAAAAAACTTATCACAACACAATGCGAACTTATAAAATCGACAGCTTATTAAAACAAAAATCTACATAATCGGCATTAAAATCACACGGCTTCCAGCATCAACGCATATATATATATACACATGCGTATATATAATAGAAGCCAATATACTTCTTTGATTATATAAACAACTAATATAATTAAAAAAGAGGCCTGCATGTCCTTCGTGTTGTCTAAGGCCACGCCAAATGCGCGGCTCGGAAGGTTGCCGCCGCGGATGCCGCTCACGGCGGCGCGCGTCTCCTCAGCAGAGGGGTGGAAGAAGCGGCAGGAACAGAGGAGGGGCGAGGGGAAGGAAAAGTGCAGGCCAAGTGGAATGGAGAGAGAGGGGGATGGGGGAGGGAAAGAGTCTGCCTTTCTCTTCGAGGAGGCGGCGCCTCCTTACCACCCCCCTCCTCTCCCCTTCCACATCCCCAAGTCCTCCAGGCGCCGAGCCGCCGCCTGCGGAGCGTTCGGGGGTTCGACCTCCCAGGGCAATCCCACGGCGAGGCGATTCTAACAGAACTTTTTGTCGCCTCGACGCGGGGCCGCCCCGGGAGAAAAACCTCTCGAAGGCCCAATCGCCTCAGATGTGCTCGCTCGTCGGCAACCCGATCCTTGAGCGCAGCGTCTGGATGCTCATAGCGATCCGCTCGGCCTGCTGCTGGAACAGGTTCTGCTGCTGCTGAAGGAGCCCCAGCGCGCCCAGGTGCTGCTGTTGCTCATGCGGCTGCTGCTGCTGCGGCTGTTGCTGCTCCGCGTCGGCGACAGGTGCCGTTGCTGCTGCTGCGGCTGCAGGCTGCTGCGTCAGCTGCTGCATCTGCAGCGCCTGCTGCATCTCCGCCGCCTGCTGCTGGTGCGCCTGCTGCTGCTGCGCAGCCCAGGCGGCGTGTTGCTGCTGCGCGTGCTGCTGCTGTTGCGCTTGCTGCTGCTGCGCGGCCGCCTGCAGTTGTTCGCGCTGCTGCTGCGCGGCCGTCTGCTGTTGCTCGTGCTGCTGCTGCGCGGCCGTCTGCCGTTGATCTTGCTGCTGTTGATCTTGCCGGTGCTGCGCAGCCCAGGCAGCCATCGCGGCGTGAGTCGGCACCTGCGGCGGGAAGCTCTGCAGGAGGTCACCTCCTGATGAAGACGGCGCGGCCCACCATCCCGTCCAGGGCGGCGCCGCTGCGCTCGGCGGCTGTGCTGCGCTCGGCGCCTTGCTTGTCGTCGCCAGGACTTCCCTCGGCGGCGCAGCCTGGGTCGGCGCCTTGGAGGCAGGCCCATCGAAGCCGAAGAGGCCGGCCTGGGCTGGCTGCTCCCAGCCCGTGCTGAGAGCTGCTGCTGCTGCTGCTGCTGCTGCAGCCTCTGCTGCTGGAGCTGTTGCTGCTGCTGCTGATGCAGCCTCTGCTGCTGGAGCTGTTGCTGCTGCCCCGAACTGCTGGCGCCGCTGGAGCTGCTGCTGGAGCTGCTGATGCAGATCTTCCAGGTCCTGTGCCTGTGCTGCTGCATCTCCTGCTGCTGCCAGTGCTGCGGCTGCGGCTGCTGCTGCTGCGCCGTCTCCAGTGGCTCTCGAAGGGGCTCCAGGTGCAGCATCTGCAGCTCCTGCAGGTGCGTCGCCTCCGCCTTCTGCTGGCGCAGGCTCGGCGGCCGCCGCTGCGCGTCGAGGGGCGGCCTTTTGCGGCGGCTTCCGAGCCGGCGTGCGCGGGCGGCGCGGCGGCGCCCAAGGCGGCGCCCCCTGCGGGCGGCGGCGGCGGCGGTGCACCACCACCTCGGAGCTCACCTGGGCGGAGAGGAGATGCTGCAGGAGGCGGCGCCTCCTCAGGTACCATGTCCATCTCGAGTTCGAAGTTCGAAATTCGACATCCGAATTTCGAATTTTGAACTTCGAACGTCGAACTCGGAAGTTTGAACTTCGAAATCACCCCGCCTGCTTCTGCCGCGTGCTCCGCGGCGCAGGGGCTGCAGCCTCCTCCATCTCCGCAGCGACCGTCTCCTCCATCTCGCGCTTCTCGCGCAAGAACCTGGGCGTGGATGTTTGCGTATGCGTGTTGCTGCTTATGTTTTATATTGTTTTTGCCAGAGGCGTTGCCTCTGTGCGAATTTATACATTTTGTTTTTGTATCCCTGGGAGCTCGCGCTGCCGCGCCCCCTTCGCCATGCGGTTCCGCGCCTGCGGCCGCGCCGCAATCGCCATGTGCGTGTTGTGGGTGGCCACGTTGCGGGGCTGGCACTGGTGGCTCAAGCGCAGGCGCACGAACTCATCGCGCCCGCAGTGCGCGCACCGTTGCCCCCCGCGGCTTTTCAGCCACACGCGCGCCACCCTCTCCCCCATCTCCTGAGGCAGCCACTGCAGCTCCTCGTCGGGCCCCCGTCAAAGACGATCACGCAGTCGCCCTCCCCCTCCTCTTCTTCGCCAGCAGCTGGAAGTCCGTCGCGGAGCGTGCCCTTTGAACGGGCCCTTGCCGCCGGGCGGACCTCCACCGTCGCCCCCGCCAGGGCGCGGCGGGCGGCTCATCGGGAGGCGCAACGTCGCCGCCGCCTGCGGGCAGGGGGGATGGGGAAGGGTATAGAAAGACTTCCTCCTCCTCCTCCTCCTCTTCCCCCTCCTTCAGGTGGCGAGCCCCCCTCCTCTTCTTTCCCCCCCCCCCCCCCTCCGCCTGCTGCGCCAGCGCCGCGAGCGGCAGCGCTGCCCAGGAGGCCGCCATGGCCCCGCCGAGAGGCCCTGCTCGGGAGGGGCCGCGCGGCCCCGAGCGTCGCGAGGGCGCCCCGCGAGGAGCGCGCGCGCCTGCGACGGGCGAGTGAAAACGTGCATCCAGCTGCCGTTCGGAGCAAGATGCACCAGGAGGTGGCGCCTCCTATAGAACGCGGTGCCGAGCAGAAGACGGGGCCCCCTGTCGGGGGCGATGCTGCCGAGCAGGGGGCGGGGCCTCCATCGGGGGGCGTCGCTCCCCCCCCCCGTCGATCAACGCGCTCCTCCCCCGCGCGCAGGGGGCGGGCCCGGCGTGGGTCACCGCCTGCACCGCGGGAGGGAGGCGCTGCAACTCCTTGTCGCCGCTCCTCTTGTTGCACCACGACAGCGTCTCCACCATCATTTTTGCCCACACCGAGGACGCAGGGCCCGCCTCCCCGAGCACCTCCTTCAGACCCTTCTGGAGGCCCTTCGCGGACAACCTCGCCGTCCGCCCATTCACGCTCGCCAGGAAGTTCACGTTCTTGCGCGCGATGTCCCCGCAGCTGCCCGCGCGGTGGAATCCCAGGATCTCGCCCTGCCACTTGCGGATGACCCCTCTCGAATTATCCTGGGCGATCTCCACTTTCGCACGCCCCGACGCCATGCGAGCGGCCCCGCGCCGAGGTGGGGGGGGCCGTTGCCGCGGCCTCTCGATGGCAGACTGCGGCGGCGATGGGAAGGTTGGATGCGCCGCCGTCGTCGCTCCCAGGAGGCGCGGCATCCACGTCCGCGCGCTCGCCCCGCCCCATTCCTCTTCCCCCCTCCCCCCACGCAGGAGGCGCGGCCTCCTCGTTCTTCGCCCCCATGGCAAGAAGTCAACTTTCGCCCCTGCGAGATCGACGCGATGCCCTGGAGGGGGCGACGCCCCCTGAACACGCCAAGACCGCTCGCGCATGCAGAATATGGTTCGCCGCAGGAGGCGCGGCCTCCTCCGCGCGTGAATAAAAGATCCCATTGCAGGAGAAGTGCGCCTCCTCATGGGACAACATCGCGCCGTCGTCGTCATTAAGATGTACTCGTCGCTACAGATTTAGCGACGATCGTCGCTAAATTTTAACGTCGACGCTAAATGCAAGGCCGACTACTAAATAAGCAGATGCACTAAATAGGCATGGATGGATCTACATGGTCGCGGCATACGCGGACGACATCTACATCGCCGGGCTTGCTGCCAACCTCGAGGCCTCGTGCGACGTCTTGGCTGCCGAGCTCGCCAGGGTGGGCTTGCGGCGCGCCCCGGAGAAGACGAAATTCTGGCTGGCCTCGCCCGAGGCCGCACAGACACTCCCGGACGCGCTGCATCACGCCGCGGTGCTCGACCTCCCGGCGTTGGGCTGCACACTCTACCACCACGACCGCGCAGACGACTTGGCGGCAGGGTTTGGCACTTCCGAGCAGGGGATGCAGAAGGCGGCGGAACTGGCGCGCGCAACGGCCGCTACTCTCAAGGACGCCATACAGCGCGGGCTGCGCTGCTAGGTTGCCGGAGCTATTCTGCGGTACGTCACGGTCGGAGCCCCCCAGCACCTGCTCCGTTCGCGCCTCTTGAGCGAACAAGCACTCGCGGCCTACGACGGCGCCGTCGCGGACGCGTGGGCCGAGCTAATCGATGTCGACCTGGCCCCGGAGCAGATCGCGATCGGAAGCTTGCCGCTTCGCTATGGCGGCGGCGCTTTTGGGTTGGCCACGCCGCGGGCGTCTGCTGCCTTCCACGCAGGATGGCGCCAACACCTCTGGCGACAATGCGCCGGGGCCCCCCTGTACACAGAGCAGGGCTTGCGCTCAGCTTGCCCCGGGCTCGCGGCGGAGCTGCAGAAGGCGAGAGTTCATTTGGCGGCCTGTGCGCCCGCGCTGGTCGGCGACGCGAAACTGGACTTCACTGCCGAACCCCACAAGCACATGCAGAAGATGATCATGGACGCCTTGGCCCCCCACGCGCGCGAGACCATCCTCAACGGCGTCCAGGTGCCTTTCCGGGCGCGGCTGCGGCAAGCAGGCGGCGCCAGAGCAGGCAGCTTCACGTGCGTGCCCCAGCCCGGCAACCAGGTCATCTCGGATGAAGCCTGGCGCATGGCTCTGCGCAGGCGCCGAATCTGTTTTCGCAAATAGACGGCGGTTGGGAAAAATAATAGACGGCGGAAAGGCCACCGAGCGACATGCGGGCGCAGGTGCCCGCATTTCTCTGGGGGGTGTTGTAAGCATAGTGGTACTTTCACATCACAGTTTTGTTTTTTTCTTGCTGTTGAAGCGTCATTTTCCTCATCAGGGTTGCATTTTTGTTTTTGTTGTCACGCACATATGATCCTCCTTCCTCCTTCCCGTCCTCCTCCTTCTCCTCCCTGTCCGCCGCTGTTTGGTTCAAATCCAAGTGCGTTGTTTTGTGAGGACGTCCGTGGTCACGGCAATAGCGCAAATCGCGCGAGGATGCCCGAGTCAAACGCATATGTGATGAAAAAACCATCGCCTTCAGGGCGCGCTTCAGGATTGAGTCGAGAAAGGTTGTTCTGCCTGTTGAAGTGGTGTCTCACCCTGTGAATCGGGGCGGGGATCCAGTGAAATCGCTGCGCACACAAAAACTCATTCGTTCAATTTTAAAGGATGGATAAGATCCCAGCTAAGCCAACAGCAATGGCGCACCCGTCGAAGTAAAACCCGCGGTAGCGGGGGGGGGGAATGCAACAAGTTTCAGGAAATGTTTGAAACGCAGCAGAAGACAGATCCAGACGGGGGCCCTCCTCGGACCCGAGGGCCGCGTGGCACGCGGAAGCAGGAGGAGGAGGAGCAGGAGCAGGAGCAGGAGGAGGAGGAGCAGGAGCAGGAGCAGGAGGAGGAGGAAGAGGAGGAGGCGGAGGAGGCGGAGGAGGAGGAGGAGCAGGAGCAGGAGGAGGAAGAGGAGGAGGAGGAGGAGGGCGACGAGGAGGAGGAGGAAGAGGAGAGGAGGAGGAGGAGGAGGAGGAGGAGGAGGAGGAGGAAGAGGAGGAGGAGGAGGGGGAGGAAGAGGAGGGGAGGGAGAAGAGGGGGGGAAAGGAGGAAGAGGAGGAGGAGGAGGAGGAGGAGGAGGAGGAGGAGGAGGAGGAGGAAGGGGGGAGGAGGAAGAGGAAGGGAGGGAGAAAACGGGGGGATCTCACGACGTTGTCGATGCTTTTCCCCAGCATCAAGGGGGCGAATGTACCCCCAGCCCACCAGGGAAGGAGCCGCCAGGAGACGACCCGGTGATCACCCCCCGAAACTTCCGTGCTGGCCGTCGCCTCGGGAAGCGGGAGCTGAGGCAGAAACGGCCGCGCACGGGCCGTGTGTGAATCCCTCGCCGCATCTACGCGCGCGTCGCGGTGCGAAGCACGGGGGGCGGGAGGGCGATTGCGCGTTCTGCGACTTGGCCTGCGCCCTGTGAGGCGTCCTGCCACGAGACGGCAGGAAAGTGCGAAGCAGGGCGCCATGTGAGACGCCCTGCGACGCAATGCGCCCTGTGCGGCGCCCTGCCAACGGACGGCAGGCACTCGGCCCCGCGGGGACGTGACCCCCCGAGCCTTAGCCCAGCGGCACAGTAGGCGCCGACGAAGCCGGGTAAGGCCGCCTGCGGACCATTGCCAGCACAGTAGGCACTGGCAATGCTGATCGTGTCCCTGATGTCCGAAGCATCTGCGTCTCTAGATCGCCCATTATCCGAAAAGCTTCGCCTTCCTCCTAATAGGATCAATCTCACGACGTTGTCGATGCTTTTCCCCAGCATCAAGGGGGCGAATGTACCCCCAGCCCACCAGGGAAGGAGCCGCCAGGAGACGACCTGGTGATCACCCCTCGAAGCAGGCCCCCTTGAGGCGGTGTTCCGCGAAGCGGTGTGTGTTGGGAGCCGGCGGTATTTTTTCCTTGCGGGCCTCCGAGCGAGCGCACGGATGCCGTCTTCTCTCGCAAGCGTTTGGTCGGCCGGTCCGTCGTCTGCTCTGCAGAAGAGGCTGCCAGGCTATCGACGAAACGCTGCATTAGCGTATCTGGGGATGTGTCGGCGTACGTATGACGCATGACGTCCTCCGAATTCCACCCACCTTGCCGTTGGACCACGTGCGGGGGGATCTTTGCTACGTGCGTGAACCATTCTGTTCCGCCTCTACGAAACGAATGCGTGCTAGCGGCTGGGTCCTTAAAGTGTGACGAAACCGCCTTGCGCCACGAATCCGCGCTAACAGGCTGGAGTTGGGAACCTGTCGTGGTGCAGAATAGGGAAGGCACGTGAGCTGCCGTCGCGGCTTTCCAATCCATCCAATCTTGCAGGAATTTCGCCGGGGATAGCCCAGCAATAACCTTGAACGGAATGAAACACCATTGGCCTTTGCCACACGGGTCGTTCTTCTGTTTCCTGATGAAACAACACGCGCACGAGGCTTTAAAATGCACGTCCTGAACGCGGAGGTTGATCGCCTCCGAAACGCGGCGCAAGCCGAAAAAGCAAAACGACGCGAAAGCTGCATCCCTCCGCCCAGCCGGCGTGCCTGTTGCCGCCCTGGCCGTGCAAAACAGCGCCCACTCTTCAACACGAATCGCACGTTTTTGGTGCGATGCGTGGGATGCTCTCTTTTTCAGGCCTCGCCAAAAATGCAAAGCCCGATCGTCCCAGCAATCGTCGAAGACCTGGCTGTAGTTGTTGCTCTGGTGCCACGCTCTGACGGCTGCTTTGTTGAGGCGTATGGTTTGCCATGCCATGCCGTCCATGCTGGCGAACAGGAGCATGAGCTTATCCGGGGAATCCAACGGGAGGATGTTGGAATCGACCTGCTGTTCGAAGCCGTGAACGTGCACGGACAACGCTCGGCTGTACGTCCGGATCGTGCTTTGCTCCCACCCGGCTCGCAGGATGTCTTGCGCGGTGTCCATGAGCGCGGCCCGTGCGGACAATGCCCCTGTCTGCGTGGATGTTTGCAGAACGTCGCCCCGAACCGGCGCGAACTGGAGGGCCACGTCGCCCGCGGCAGGTGCGCCGACAAGCGCCCGCGGCCCTCTGGTCGCGGGGCGGGCCAGCAAGGCAGGCGCATCCAAGGCCCTGGGTCGAGGCCGGACGGCCCACCGACTCTCAGGCAACGGTGCTGAGAGCAACTCAACACCCCATGGCGCCGGAGAGTTTGGCTGGCCAGACAGTGGTGCGCTCAACAGGTGCATGTCAAGGTCTTGAGCCGGGACGGCTGCAGGGACGAGGGGGGCGGGGGGAGGGAAGGAGGCCAAGGGTGGGAGAAAAGGGCGGAGGTGGGAAGAGGGCCCTGGGCTGGAAGACGGCGCTGCGTCGCCTGCGTCCCTAAAGGAAACCGCACTCTCGCTGTGCCTCGCGAGCGCTTTCCGGGGGCATCAGTGCCGACGGGGAGTGTCCCCTGGAGCGGACCCGCCAGCGACTTCGCCCAGAACGTTTTCTGGAGACCTAGCCAGGAGTCGGCCGCCGGAAACCTCGAGGAGCGGACCCACACGGGCCTGATTACCTGTCGGATTCCACCACAACTGCTGGCTACTTGGGATCCCGGCCCGGATCACGAGCGGGCCCGCCGGCCATGTCCAAGGCGTTTTCTGGAGATCCGTAAAATTAGTGATAGTTTTTGAGTGGAGCCCCGGTGGGCCCGCCTCCTCCGTCCTGGCACCACAGCCCCGCCGGGGCCGCGTGGTATGGGCACCTGTGCAAGCCTGTCCACAAGGCCGATTGTCCGCCCGTGTTTCGTAGACCACCCCGCTCCCGGAATCTCTCTCGCGATTGCGCGTTCTGCGACTTGGCCTGCGCCCTGTGAGGCGTCCTGCCACGAGACGGCAGGAAAGTGCGAAGCAGGGCGCCATGTGAGACGCCCTGCGACGCAATGCGCCCTGTCCGGCACACTGCCAACGGACGGCAGGCACTCGGCCCCGCGGGGACGTGACCCCCCGAGCCTTAGCCCAGCGGCACAGTAGGCGCCGACGAAGCCGGGTAAGGCCGCCTGCGGACCATTGCCAGCACAGTAGGCACTGGCAATGCTGATCGTGTCCCTGATGTCCGAAGCATCTGCGTCTCTAGATCGCCCATTATCCGAAAAGCTTCGCCTTCCTCCTAATAGGATCAAAAGGAGGAGGGAGGAGGAGGAGAAGGAGGAGCGGGAGCAGGAGGAGGAGGAAGAGGAGGAGGGGAGCAGGAGCAGGAGGAGCAGGCGCAGGAGCAGGAACAGGAGGAGGAGGAGGAGGAGGAGGAGGAGGAGGAGGAGTAGCAGGAGCAGGAGGAGGAGGAAGAGGAGGAGGGGGATCAGGAGCAGGAGGAGCAGGCGCATGAGCAGGAAAAGGAGGAGGAAGAGGAGGAGGAGGAGGAGGAGGAAGAGGAGGAGGAGGAGGAGGAGGAGGCGGAGGAGGAGGAGGATGAGGAGGGGAGCCGCAGGCGCCGCCGGCCCGGGTGGCCGAGCGGGCGTCGCCGCAGCTCGCCCCGCCGCGGCCCCCTCCGCGCCCAGCGGAGAGGCTCGGGGTGGGGTGGGGGCAGATCGGGGAGCCGTAGGACTCCAGGCCTCCCAACTTGGCTGCCTCGATACGCCCGTTTTGAAACGCGGCACGCCCCGTGTTCACGACGTCCGTGTCAATACGTTGCGTGCTGGTTCAGCGTATCGGCCCACGCTTTGACGAAGGTATCGCGTCAGAGCGACGTTTTCAGTCTACGCGTCGAGCTCCGTATCAATACGCAACGTGTTGCATGTTGCGTATCGGGGCAGCTAAGCTCCAGGCCTCCCAAGTGTCGAGTAGGAGATCGACTGCAGCATTGGTGTACCCCAAACTTGGTTCACACCCTCTTGTGTTGGGTTCTCGTTGCTGAATAGAGCAAGCAGTGTGGTCTCCACCTCCTCCTCCTCCTCCTCCTCCTCCTCCTCCGCCTCCTCCTCCTCCTCCTCCTCCTCCCCTCCTCCTCCTCCTCCTCCTCCTCCTCCTCTCCTCCTCCTCCTCCTCCCTCCTCCTCCCTCCTCCTCCTCTCCTCCTCCTCCTCCCTCCTCCTCCTCCTCCTTCTCCCCCCCTCCTCTTCTCCTCCTCCTCCTCTCCTCTCCTCTCCTTCCTCTCTCTCTCCTTCCCTCTCCTCTCCGCTCTCTCCTCTCCTCTCCTCTCTCTCTCCTTCCTCCTCTCCTCCTTCTCTCTGTCTCCAGTGTTCCTTCGTCTTCTCTCGTGCCATTTGCGATCTGCGCAACATCGCCACTTTCGTGGGCTCCTGAGAGGCCCAGCGGAGGTACGTCGTACGCGGACCACCTCGGGACCTCGCCGCCCGCTGGGGGGCTTGCGATCTGCGCAACTGTAGACACGTTCGTGGGCTCCTGGGAGGCCCAGCGGAGGTACGTCATACGCCGATCACCTCGGGACCTCGCCGCCCCCTCGGGGGCTTGCGATCTGCGCAACTGTCGCTATCTCGTGGGCTCCTGGGAGGCCTAGCGGAGGTACGTCATACGCAGATCACATCGGGACCTCGCCGCCCCCTGGGGGGCTTGCGATCTGCGCAACTGTCGGCACTTTCGTGGGCTCCTGGGAGGCCCAGCGGAGGTACATCCCTCCCGGACTACCTCGGAACATCGCCGCCCCCTGGGGGGCTTGCGATCTGCGCATTTGTCGCCACTTTCGTGGGCTCCTGTGAGGCCCAGCGGAGGTACGTCCCGCGCGGGCCCGAGATCTCGCCGCCCCTTGGGGGGCTTGCGATCTGCGCAACTGTCGCCACTTTCGTGGGCTCCCAGGAGGCCCAGCGGAGGTACGTCCCACGCGGACCACCTCGGGACCTCGCCGCCCCCTGCGGGGCTTGCGTTGAGCGGTCCTGAATTGAATCGCCACATGTGTAGAAAGGGTTGGGTAAGTCGCAGGGTAATTGTTCCTCTTCGGTTCCACGACAAAATACGAAGATTGTTCGCAGATCTGCGAAAATTCTACGTATGCTTCGCAGATTCGGCCAGTGGGGTGAATCAATTCTGCAGTCGATCTCCTGAACAGATGGGGTCCGAGCAGAGTGCGTCGGAGAATCCCAGCGGCTCCCCAGACCCCGTTCGGATCATTAAAAAATCATGGCGGAGAGTGTTTCGCTATGTTCGGCCTGTGGAGGCCATTGCCGGGCCCCGGGGCATTCAAAGAGCGACTCGGGGTGACCATCCTGGGGGCTGGGTCGAGACCTCTGGGGGTCGAAGCTATGAACAAATCATGACGTCGGGGGTCGGAGGATCGCGCCGCATCGACGATGCGTCGGCGATGCGGCTCGATGTGGAGCCCGGCTTTCTCCACACCAATGTCGCCGATGCATCGCCGATGTCGCCAATGCATCGGCGATGCGGCGCGACCTTCCGACCCCATCTACTCAGACCCAATGTTGATAGGCCTCTAAAGACTCGAGTTCGCCTGAACTCGGGTTTGCCGCCGCTTTTTGTCGAGCCCGCTCTAGATTTGACGATCCAGCTTCCGTGGGATGATTGCAGCGGAACCTGGCGTCAAGTTTCAGATTGGGTCGTCATTTTTCTGACGGCCCTGGCAGGCCAACCTGAGTCATCCGAACCCGAGTCTTCCGTCTCCCCGACCAGACCCCCTCGCGTCGTGGAAAAGTCGCGGCGGGAGGTTGTTTTCTGTATGATGTTCGGCCTTCGGGTGGCCTGGCTAGGCCGCGGGACCGTCAAAACCGGCTCGGGACGAAAACCAGCCCGAGGGAATGAGTCGAGACCTTCGAGGGCCAACGTCGTGAAAAACATGACGCCGGGGATCCGGGAGAGAGCGCTGCACAATCATGTGCAGCCGAGGCACCAAAGCAGGGGCCGCTGTGGGAACTCAAGGGGGGCTCTGATGCTCGGGCAGCTCCTCAGATCTAGGCCTGGGGGGCCTCTTCGTGGCCTAGGATCGCCATCTTAGATGCTGGTTTGGAGGACCTTCCTGGGGCCCACCTAACGGATCTGTTCGACTCTAGTTCGACCCCAGTTCGGCTCAAGTTCGACCCAGATTCGACTCAGGTTCGACTCAAGGTCGATTCGAATCGGCGAACGTTCGACGCAGCTTCGACGCACGAGTGGAGCGAGTGGCTCAAGGAAGGTCCCCAGAATGAGCAGCCAACCGTTCGTTGTTCAGCGCCCCTCCCGGCAGCAAGATGGCTGCAAACACGAATTCTCAGAGGTACGCGTGCGCAGCGGGCCCGGGGAGGCCAGGGGAGTCCAGCGCCGATCCAAGAATGCTGCACACTCCTCCGAAAGACGGTGCTCGTGTGGGCGACGCAGGCGAACGAGATCGTCTTCGCGGCGCGTCAGCTCCCCGCGCAAGGTCAAGCGTAAGCGCCCTCGTCTCCAATGCAGCGTGCCGCTCTGGCGGCCCACGTCAGCCGCGGCGTATAAGGTCGCTGCGCCATCGTGCGTAAGACCCGCTTCGTATCGTCCCCCATGTTGCTTTTCTTGCTCTGGCTGCCGAGGCCTCGGAACTCGCCGCCCCTGCAGCCGCGACAGGACCCGGGCATCTGGGAGCAGCCCAGGCTCGGGCGTCGAGTAGTAGGGGTGCGGTACATGGATGGTGAAGAAGGGTGCACCTCTTGTGCCCTAAAGGGCCCCCCTGGGGCCCAAAAGGGGCGCGAAAGATGCACGTTCCTCCCACCCCCTAAATAACCCGTACCCCCTACGTCCCCGGGACTCGTTGTTTCTGTCCTGATTCATCTTTTGACAGTCCCGAGGCCCGGTAAGGGCCCCCAGTGGCCGAAAATAGTGAACATACGCCCGTCGTCATTTTTTCATGACCCGAGGGGGTCTGGGACTTAGCCCCCCATTCATCAATGCCCGACAGGCCGCCGCCCCCGAGTCTGACGGGCGGCTCGGTCTGGGACCCGAGGGGCGCGGGTGGGCTCCCCGGCGGCTGCCTGGCGGCGGACCTCGGTGCCACTTACCCGGCGCTGGGACCGGACGTGGGCCCGCAGAGCAAGAGGTTGGCCGACGATATCTATGTATATCGATACATATATATATATACATATATACATACATCTGTATATATACATGGATACATATATATATATATATACATTTACATGTATTCACACATACATACATACATACATGCATACATACACACATACATACATACATGCATGCATACATACATACATACATGCATGCATGCATGCATACATACATACATATATACGTGCATATATTCATTCATACATACATACATACATGCATACATACATACATACATAAACATATATTCATACATCCATAAATACATGCATGCATGCATACATACATGCATGCATGTATACATACATACATACATGCATACATATATACATACATACATACATACATACATACATACATACATACATACATGCATGCATACATACATACACACACACACATACATACATACATACATACATACACACATCCATACATACATACATACATACATACATACAAACATACATACATGCATGCATACAAACATACAAACATACATACATACATACATGCATGCATGCATGCATGCATACATACATACATACATACATACATGCATACATATACCTAGATACATAGAATGCAGCTGTAGGTAAGAGTGAGGGGGTGACCGCGGGGTGGGTCGCGGGCGGGTTGCGGGCGGGTCGCGGGTGGTTCATGGGTGGGTCGCGGAGTGGGTCGTGGGGTGAGTCGCGGGTGGGTCGCGGGCCCGGTCGCAGGCAGGACGACGACAAAAACAAACAACAACAAGCAACAAATCAACAACAAGATCCTTCGCTTGAATGGTGGAACGACTACAAAATTGATGTATTCAGAAATTGAAACTCTTTGAGTAAATGAGTAAGTATATGTCAATGTACTCATGCAGCGAGAAAGTGAGTTAATACTCATTCATTTACTTGGATTCGCGTTTGATCGTGCTGATTGCATCGAATATTTGCGCGCGTTCCCCCGCGCTCTCAACATCGACAGATGTCGTCGTTCGCTTCCCGCGGCTCATCAAGTTGATTCGCGCCGCCTTGACCAGTAGCGCTGGCGTGGCTGACGATCTGCGCATGGGCCTCGGCCGACCGCCTCCATCACAGACGCGCTATGCGCCTGCGTTGATATCCAACACTTACCCGCGCGCTCGCCTCAATCCGAAGTATGAATTGCAGCGTCGCGCGTTAAACGTGCCACGCAGTGTCCTGGGCCACGTGAACGACTCTCAATCGGGCGCGTCGGCATGATAACGGCACTTGTGATCACATGTTGCGCACATTCCCCCAGGGAGTATTCGAACCGAGAACGTCTTGTCCAATGCGCTTGTGATGGCGCCTGCAGGAATGCACCGCGTAGCCAAGTCGCTGTTTTGCTCGATAATGGAACTACAAGATGACAGTGGACCCGAAGCTCGGTCCAGTAGCGCCGCCACCTAGCCCGGCGCGGTGCACCGCGATACCCGTTGCGATCTCAACCAGTTGCCGCGTTGGAGATCCGTCGGCGCAGATTAGCGTCGCATGCGGCCCTGAGCTCCTACGTTGCAGGCTCGCCTCAGCATTGCCCGTGCCCGCTGCGCCATGCCCACCAGCGCAATTCGCTGACATTATATACAGGCCAGTTCTAGAACCACTGTGGCACGCTGCAACGTCGCGCCCACCAGCACTTCCCCCCCGACGCGAGGACCCAGCTTGAGCAAATGCCGCATGTCCAGTTTCACCACCCAAAACTCAGGAGCGAAAGAAGGACGTACATGTACATGAATCCACGCTGGTTTCGAGAGCACGCATTGCACAAATGATCGTATAACGTGGCCGGTCTCGCGAATCGAGAGGCCGTGTTCATGTACATAGCTGGGCGAGTACGTCCTATGTGGGCTCCCTAAAAATCATGTTCTCCATTGCACCGACCTGCGACCTCTGCGGCGCAGTTCCCGCTGCCTGCGTGCTGCTCTAATGAAACAGTGGGCGCTGGTCAATTGGCGTTTGGCTGCATCTCTTTTTTCGCTGAAGCGATGTTTCAGAATTCGACGCTTTGCCACTGGACCAAGCCAACATAACACCTGGGATGTCCAACGCAATCAAGTGGACGCTGGTAGCTGGTCGCCCCGACTCGCTGGCGTCGCCCTTGACCCGGAGCCCTTCACGCAGCCTGAGACCCATGCTTGCTGCCCCCCCCGCCCCCCCTCCTTGCCATGCCCATCGCCGCCATAATAATTCATTCGTTCAGCACGCCGCCCGCGGTCGTGCCCCCACTCAGCCGCTCAGCCGCGGTTGCCATCCCGCGCGGGAGGCGCGCATGCATCAGCTGTTGCGCGGCTTGGATGGGCAGCAACAGCAACGTGCGGCACCACCGTTGTCGCCTCGCGCACGCACAGAGCACGACGCGCGAACCAGCCCCGCCATTGCGCCGCGCACCTTTTCCGCGCAACGTCAGGGAACGCAGTTTGCAAGACTCGCTCGCGAACTTATTCCGCGCAGCCCGCGCGAAATTACGCCGCGATTTCGCTTTCGCCCAGGGGAACGCCCGCGCGGGCCGGGCCCAGTTGCGTCGCGCGCTCTGGGCTCCGGACTGTCGCGCTGTCGTCGGGTCGCGCCGAGCTCGAATAGCCGCGGCGCATCCCCTCCGCGCTCCCCCCCGCTCGCGCTTCATGTCGAGGGCCCCGCGCGCACCCGCCGAAGCCTTGCATCCGTCGTCTTTGCATTCCCAGCCGCGCGCGTTCCCTCTCTTGACTTTGGCGGGCCGCCGAGAGGGCTTGTGCCGACGACGTTTTCTTGCGCGGCGGCGGCTGGGCCTCGCTAGTGCTGTCCGCAGAGGCTCGCGCTGGGCGGGCGGGCGGGCGGCGGGCCAGCGGCGGCGGCGGCGGCGGGCGGGGGGGGGGGAGGGCCGCGCGGACATTGCAATCTCTGCGCGTTTCCCTTGGCACAATGCAATGCGTCCCCTGGTTCGCGCCGCGCCGTTGCCGGCCGTTGCCGCCCTCGAGTCTCCTCGTCTGCTTCGTCAGAAGGGCGCGCCCTCGCGCTAGCTCCCGCGGAAACGGGGCGGGCCCGCGCGGCTGCGCCCCAACGTGTTTTTCCTAGAGCAGAACATCGCGCCCATCGGGTCTGCCGCGCGCTTTGCCCCGCTAGGCCACGCCAAATCTTCACGCCGCGCCGCCAGGCGCGCATCGTCGCTGCAAGTCGGTTGCTGCGTGGCGGCCCCGCGCGGCGACCCCAACAATTGCGCCGCGTCTCGGGGCGGGCCGACGCCGCGGGCCACGACACATGGGGCCACGACGGGCGCGAACGAGCGGGGGCCACGAAGGGAATACGTATATTGGGCCGCGGAGAGCAAGGACGGGGCCACTGAGGGCAGCAACGGGGCCACGAAGGGCAGCGAGGGAGCCACAAAGCCCGACACCGGGGCCACGAAGGGCATGCATATGGGGCCACGGCGGGCGCGAACGAGCGGGGGCCACGAAGGGCATACATAGATGGGGCCACGAAGAGCAGCGAGGTGGCCACGAAGGGCTGCAACGGGGCCACGAAGACCAGCGAGGGGGCCACGAAGGCTGCAACGGGGCCACGAAGGGCAGCGAGGGGCCACGAAGGGTTGCAACGGGGCCACGAAGGGCAGCGAGGGGGCCACGAAGGGCTGCAACGGAGCCACGAAGGGCAGCGAGGGAGACACGAAGGGCTGCAACGGGTCCACGAAGGGCAGCGGGGGGGCCACGAAGGGCTGCAACGGGGCCACGAAGGGCAGCGAGATCCCGATTCCTAAGCGTGAGCGCGATTCCTGGGTGCCTGAGTGTCGGGGGCGCGGCGCTGGAGTAAATTGCGGGAAATTCAAACGCAAGGGCGCTATTCTTGATTAAATTGCAAGCAAGTCTCCAGGGAGAGCGCGACTCCAGAGCGCCGAGAATGCGATTCCGGAATAAAGTCTAAGGAAGTCCCAAGCGAGAGCGGGATTCGGAATAAAATGCGAGGAAGTCTCAGGCGCGAGCGGGGGTCCTGGCTAAATTGTGAGGAAGTCTCAGGCGGGAGCCGTTGTTGTTGTAGCCCAGGGGCCAAGGGCACAGTTTGAGCTTAAATATTTTCCCTGATAAAAAACAAGGCGCGAGCCCCGGGAAGAGCACTTCAATTGAAAAAATACAATGTGCACCGGAAGGGGGGGATCAACATTTGTATTTATCTATATCAACGGCTCTCGCTTGATACTTCCTCACAATGTATTCCCAAACCCGGCTCTCGCACGGGACTTCCCCACAGTTTATTCAGGAAGCGTGTTCTCGCGTGGAACTTCACCACAGTTTATTCAGACGCCGTGCCCTCGACACTCAGGAATCACGCTCTCGCGCTGGCTTATCTCACGATTTACTTGGGAATCGCGTAATCGCTCGAGACTTCCTCGCGATTCATGCAGGACGCACGCTTCAGCAACCCGCCTGCTCGACCTGGCCGCCTGGGCCCGCCTTCCCGACCCGCCTTTTAAGATCTACCCGCCCGATCTGCCCGTCTGGTTCTGCCACGTGTTTTCCATTCCGAGCCCCCCTCGTACTACTTTTTCCCGTGTTCCATCCTCCTCCTTCCACCTTCTTTTCTTCCATCCGTTATCTCTTCCCCTGCCGTCGGGGCTGCATGAAATACACGTTGCAGGTGAGACAGATATACCCACAACGGGGCACGATCGAAGACGAAGAGGGCGGGTATCGAGGGTTTGGGATATACGTGTTGAGTGACACGCGAGCAGATAAGAGCGAACCGTCTTAAAATGATTGTTGTTGTTGTTGTTGCTCCTGTTGACGTCGTCCTCGCACGCGACCCACCCGCCACCCACCAGCGACCCACCCCGGGACCCACCCGCGACCTACCCCGCGACCCACCCGCGACCCACCCGCGGCCCACCCCGCGCCCGCCTCCTCACTCTTTTCCGCAATTGCGGGGTACTACGTATATTTACCAAGTGCGTCGGCCATGCCCATGCAGAGCCCGGGAATGGCGTGTACGCCCCCATGGCTTGGCCAGGGAGGCATGTGAACCGCTCCTGGGCTCGGGATGGGCTTGGCCAGTGGCAGTGGACGTGTACGGATCTCGTCGCCCTGCGAGGGACAAGAAGATCGCCAGCCTCACGAGCCAGACGGACGGCAGCCTCGTCTCACCTAT